AGAGTGGTGCTGCAGGAGAGTGAGGCAGAGTAGTGCTGCAGGAGAGTGAGGCAGAGTGGTGCTGCAGAGTGGTGTGGGAGAGTGGTGCAGCAGAGTGGTGCTGCAGAGTGGTGAGGCAGAGTGGTGCTGCAGAGTGGTGCTGCAGAGTGGTGCTGCTGAGTGGTGCTGCAGAGTGGTGCGGCAGAGTGGTGCTGCAGAGTGGTGCTGCAGAGTGATGCTGCAGAGTGGTGCTGCAGAGTGATGCTGCAGCGTGTTGCTGCAGAGTGGTTCTGCAGAGTGATGCTGCAGAGTGGTGCTGCAGAGTGGTGAGGCAGAGTGGTGCGGGAGAGTGGTGAGGCGGAGTGGTGCTGCAGGGTGGTGCTTCAGAGTGGCGCAGCAGAGTGGTGCTGCAGAGTGGTGCGACAGAGTGGTGCAGCAGAGTGGTGCTGCCGAGTGGTGCGGCAGAGAGGTGCAGCAGTGTGGTGCGGGAGAGTGGTGCTGCAGAGTGGTGCTGCAGAGTGGTGCTGCAGAGTGGTGCTGCAGAGTGGTGCTGCAGAGTGGTGCTGCAGAGTGTTGCGGGAGAGTTGTGCTGCAGAGTGGTGCGGGAGAGTGGTGCGGGAGAGTTTTGCTGCAGAGTGGTGCAGGAGAATGGTGCGGGAGAGTGGTGCTGCAGAGTGGTGCGGGAGAGTGGTGCAGCAGAGTGGTGCGGCAGAGTGGTGCTGCAGAGTGGTGCTTGAGAGTGGTGCTGCAGAGTGGTGCAGGAGAGTGGTGCTGCAGAGTGGTGCTGCAGAGTGGTGCGGGAGAGTGGTGCTGCAGAGTGGTGCTGCAGAGTGGTGCTGCAGAGTGGTGCAGCAGTGTGGTGCGGGAGAGTGGTGCTGCAGAGTGGTGCTGCAGAGTGGTGCTGCAGAGTGGTGCTTGAGAGTGGTGCTGCAGAGTGGTGCAGGAGAGTGGTGCGGGAGAGTGGTGCGGGAGAGTGGTGCTGCAGAGTGGTGCTGCAGAGTGGTGCGGGAGAGTTGTGCTGCAGAGTGGTGCAGGAGAGTGGTGCTGCAGAGTGGTGCTGGAGATTGGAGCTGCATAGTGGTGCTGCAGAGTGGTGCTGCAGAAGAGTGGTGCGGGAGAGTAGTGCTGCAGAGTGGTGCTGCAGAGTGGTGCAGGAGCTTGGTGCGGGAGAGTGGTGCGGGAGAGTGGTTCTGCAGAGTTGTGCTGCAGAGTGGTGCTGCAGAGTAGTGCTGCAGAGTGGTGCAGGAGAGTGGTGAGGCAGAGTGGTGCAGGAGAGTGGTGAGGCAGAGTGGTGCTGCAGAGTGGTGCTGCAGAGTGGTGCAGGAGAGTGTTGCTGCAGAGTGGTGCTGCAGAGTGGTGCTGCAGAGTGGTGCTGCAGAGTGTTGCGGGAGAGTTGTGCTGCAGAGTGGTGCTGCAGAGTGTTGTGGAAGAGTTGTGCTGCAGAGTGGTGCAGGAGAGTGGTGCTGCAGAGTGGTGCAGGAGAGTGGTGCTGCAGAGTGGTGCTGCAGAGTGGTGCTGCAGAGTGGTGCTTGAGAGTCGTGCTGCAGAGTGGTGCAGGAGAGTGGTGCGGGAGAGTGGTGCGGGAGAGTGGTGCTGCAGAGTGGTGCTGCAGAGTGGTGCTGCAGAGTGGTGCGGGAGAGTTGTGCTGCAGAGTGGTGCAGGAGAGTGGTGCTGCAGAGTGGTGCTGGAGATTGGAGCTGCATAGTGGTGCTGCAGAGTGGTGCTGCAGAAGAGTGGTGCGGGAGAGTGGTGCTGCAGAGTGGTGCTGCAGAGTGGTGCAGGAGCTTGGTGCGGGAGAGTGGTGCGGGAGAGTGGTTCTGCAGAGTTGTGCTGCAGAGTGGTGCTGCAGAGTAGTGCTGCAGAGTGGTGCAGGAGAGTGGTGAGGCAGAGTGGTGCAGGAGAGTGGTGAGGCAGAGTGGTCCTGCAGAGTGGTGCTGCAGAGTGGTGCAGGAGAGTGGTGCTGCAGAGTGGTGCTGCACAGTGGCGCGGCAGAGTGATGCTGCAGAGTGGTGTGGGAGAGTGCTGCAGGAGAGTGGTGGTGCAGAGTGGTGCTGCAGAGTGGTGCAGGTGAGTGGTGCTGCAGAGTGGTGCTGCAGAGTGGTGCGGCAGAGTGATGCTGCAGAGTGGTGCAGGAGAGTGGTGCTGCAGAGTGGTGGGGGAGAGTGGTGCTGCAGAGTGGTGCAGGAGAGTGGTGCTGCAGAGTGGTGGGGGAGAGTGGTGCTGCAGAGTGGTGCAGGAGAGTGGTGCTGCAGAGTGCACCACTCTCCTGCACCACTCTGCAGCACCACTCTGCAGCATCACTGCAGCATCACTCTGCCGCACCACTCAGCAGCACCACACTGCTGCACCACTCTCCTGCAGCACCACTCTGCAGCACCACTCTCCTGCACCACTCCTGCAGCAGAGTGGTGCTGCAGAGTGGTGCTGGAGAGTGGTGCTGCAGGAGAGTGGTGCAGCAGTGTGGTGCTGCGGCAGAGTGATGCTGCAGAGTGGTGCAGCAGAGTGGTGCAGGAGAATGGTG